CAGAATGGGAGCCTGCGGTAAAGCCGGGGACTACAGTGTGAGTGTATGTGTGTGTGCGTTTTCCTTTGCCTGTGCGTGAGTGTGTGTCTATGTGGGGTGCAGAAGAATATGAGTTTTAATGCAGACATTGTGCACCCTGTTGAGAAGAGACGTGGACAAAAGAGTACCGTTCAAGTCAGACGCACAGTTTCTGTGCACGCTGATGCTTCTGCACACACACTTACAGCAGCTGCCTGCGACACACACACCCTGTAATATCTGCATAGTGGCATCAGTGCACGGCCAAACAGGTTGTCAGAAGGAGAGAGGTCTTAATTAAACATTTGGCTTCATTAAATGCTTTAATAATAATGCAGTGTCAAGCCCACAGTGGTAAATATTAGTCAGGATTTACTTATTGATTTTTCTGCAAAACGCATCTCTGTAGGGCTGTCAAGATGAAGTATTTTAAATGGGGGGTTATATTCTTAAAGTTGACTTTTATACCAGTAAAACACACCAAAACGATTGCTGATAAAACTAATTATTGAGGTAAATTATTAGCTGTGAAAACGTACACACGCACACATTTAAAGTCATATAGATTGAGCTGTTTTGTGAAATATTCTCAATGTTACTTCATTTATCAGACAGAGTCAAGTTTCTCCTAAAAAATGAGCATGTGTTAGCTTAAAATTCAAAGACAATGATTATGTGGAAAACATGTTGTCAAGTCTCTTATTCAAACCCAGCCCCACCCTCGCGTTGTTATCAGATGAAAAATGGTTGATTTTGACACGATGCTAAAAAAAGAGAAAATTATTATAATCCCTAATTTTCAGGACCACCATCTCAGAGGATTATCCTGTCTAAATTAAGTAATATTCATTCAAGTAGGTGCAGTTTCATTCATACAAGTATTAGGATTTCTAGTGTTTGTATTCAAAGAAATCTCAGAAAACATATAGAATATGTTTAGAGTAGCTACATTCAGCCAGGCTAATGGACCGTGTAAAAACACGAAATCTCTCATATTTTTAAAAGCCAATTAAAATTAAAGTTATCTTGAACATGACAAATCATTTTTGCAATAACTATTTCTAAAAGCACAGAATTTAGGGCGCCAAAAATAAAGCATCAAACCACATTTCCAGCATCTCGCCAGAAAATGTGAAAGACGCTTTTCAGTTCACTCCAAACTGATTATTGGTGCTCCTAAAGCCACAGTCTGTTGGAGTAAGAAGTCATTTGGATTTTAACATTTGGAGCATCACGGTGGGGCTGGTTTGGCTATCGTTAACACGGTTTTGTTGTCATAATTGGAGTCTCTCCAAAGTTACAGGGAGTAATTGGGCGGCATATGGACACCTTAATGTAAAGTGATGCCTTATTCATTTCACATGAGTGCACGAATCAGAGCAGGTGACGCGGAATAACACGAGGGAAGAGGCAGTTGATTTACCCCTGAGCAAGGCAGCAGGTCCGGCATCTGCTGCTCTGCCATGATGGCATTTATATTAATTGGGGAAACATTAAAGAAAAAAGGAAATTCCTGAATGAAGGAGACGGAAAACATGATTATAGCTTTTATTGTCTTTTATAATGCCTCCGAGGTTTTTTTGTTCCTGTTTGGGCAAAAACTTAGACAAGTTCGTCCTAAATACTCACAAGGGATTTAAATCAGCTTAAAGAGAAGATGATATCTCTTTCGCCTGCTAACTGGTAGTGAGGTCGAAATGGGGATGTATCTATTTATTCAATCGTGTTTCTTATTTTATTTACTCAACCGTTTCAGCCTTAGAATAAAGTAAAACACATTTAAACAATTTCATATACAGCTTTTATATTAATGTAATTTCGACCAATGTATTTTTATTTAAGATATAGCTAGGTTGCTGATTTACATAATGACCTTACTTTAATAAAACACATTTTTACAACGCATATATAGACGCATACATTGCCGCAGAAAAACAGTTTTAAAAACGTATATTTTTAGGTTAGTTTATTCTAACAAATCAAAAGCCTTAGCCTGAGATCCTCCAGGATTTATAATTGTATTCAGTATTGATTGGTGCGCTGTGGTGTGTTTTCAAGGCCTATACTTCAAATGTGCTGTAAAGGCCAGCAACAAACACTGCAATGCACATTTTTTAGAAAAGAGGGAAGAGAGTCATCATCTCATATCTTCTCAAATATTTTAACATTTTTATATTTTCCACAAAGATGTTTCATTTTCGGGTGGATTTGAATACAATAAAGGAAATAAAATAGATTTGCAGAACAACAATATTTACTGAACTCTAGATTTAAAAAGTAAATCGATACATAGGTTGAAAACGGGGCAAAAAAGAGCAATGTGATTTATTTTTCAAAAGGCTAATTCAGTTTACCAATGCATGTGCCCTTATATCATGGGTTCATCTACCATAAATAACCATTTAGGCCAAATTCAAGTAGCCTCATTTATAAAAGTTTAGTTTCACCAGATGCCATTTAGCAGTGGCTTATTCTCAAACAAGCTGTAATTGTCATTTTGAACATCCATAACGCTGGCAACGCTGTGTCACTTTGCAGAGCTGCCGAAATATTGATCCACGGTCCTCTCTGCAAGGCATTATTGTTTCTGCTCGGATATATGCTGCTCTGGGCTTCACGGGAATATTCCCCCTGATTAATAATCAGTGTGAAAGCTGTAAGTAATTGACACGGGGCCTTCAAGTCCCCCATTGCCTGGCACACACTTTTCTTTTCATATAAAGCTAGATTATTATAAAAAAAAGTCAAATAAGAAAGATGCGTTATCCGCATTTCCGCATCCGCACATGCACGGTTCAGCAACGAACTACTTCTTGGTGTATTTCTGTGTACTATTGAATTGAATCTCGCCTGAAATGTATCCTCTTTTTCGAAGTACTTAGAAAATCGTGTCCCTTGTACGCATTTTCTCTGCAAAGCAAATGTCACCGGCTCGTAGGGCCTTTATCGGCACAATGGCCGTAGAGAGCCAACACACATAAACACACAGCTCAGCTCGTGCAGACATGGCAGGAGCTTATCGATCCGCATGAGAATGTGTAGATGAGGTTTGCTGCCATATAAGGCCAAACCTTGGCCTTTGATATTCCTCAGTCTTTCTATATCTTGTCTCTTTATTGGGTGTGCATATAAATACAAATAGAAAAAAATCGGAAAATGTAAGTTATATAACCATAAATAGAGTTATTTAATGTTATATAATACGGTAAAACCTAAAATAAAAATATTGGATTATATTCAAAACACATTTAAGTGTGGGTATCTAATATAATAAGGAACATGTAACACATTATTTAAAATAAACATGTAACCATAGTCACTGTTGTGGTTCCCTGTTGACAGCCCTATTTGCCTGCATCAGTCTATTATGTCCACAGGACTACACGCTTGGACAGCCACACTTCGGGGAATTAGTGTCTTTTGTCTCGACACACGTCACACACACGCCGTTGACATTGACTTCACATCAGAGACAGTTTAACTTCGTCTCTTTTTTTTCTTCTTTTCTTTTATTTAACTCGTTCAACCGAGCGCTGGGTCTATTGTGGGGACCCTGACAGATGCGGGGCCCCTAGCAGGTCCAGGACAGGGAAAAGTCTGAAAGGTTAATCTGTCCCCCCGCAGATGTTGGCTTTGGGAGTCTTGAAGCGTCACCTTTGACATGTCCCTCATTCAGCGGGGGGTCCAGCAGGACACTGACCGCTGCAAGCTGTCACCTCGGCCGGCTGAGGACGCCCTGCAATACCGCTCTATTAGGATAAACGGCCCCTGACATGTCAGCAGGGCCCGGTTTTTATCAGGCTGCAGGTTTGGGGAGTTTGACACTTATGCAACATGATGCACTATGACTACACCAACACGGGGATACGAATCGTATTATGTGTCAGCATGTCATTTCCTTTTTTTTTACGGATAAAGCTGTGAGTTTGTTTGTGTGTGAATTTGTATTATGTGTACGTTTCTGTTGACAAAAATAAATATTTTCCTATTGAATAAATAGAATGTTGGCCTGTTATTTGTAGTGTCATTGTGTATAGGCAAGTACGTCATTATCAAAGTTTAGGGTTATATATGCACGTGTTCAATTAGGACACACACACACACACACACACACACACACACACACACACACACACACACATACACACACACACACACACACACACACACACACACACACACTGCTGGGCTTGGTTCGTTAAGCCTAATGTTTGAACAATAGACACATCTGCTCATCTTTTTCTATCAAAAGAGAAGGTATTACAGTCTTCTTCGTTTGTTTAAACCGCCACATATTTTGGTAAGGGGTGTGGGGGTGGGGTGGTGCAGCTGAAGTAGCCTGGTAATGAAAGAATGGATCTATATGGTGCATGAAAACAACTTTATTGGCAGCCCTTTAGCTGCTAATTAAAATCATTATATCTTGTCATAATTTCTGAAGCCTCTTTTGCTATTTTCTGGAGAAGGATTAAGTGTATTAAGCATTGGAGCTTTTGATGTTTTGAATCCCAGACCTCACTAGTTAAAAATCAACTCCAAATGAACCCGGAAGTTTACTTCATTTGCACCTAATAATTTAAGGAGGACTGAATGTAAAGCCTCATTATAGCTCTAATGAATGAAACGTTTTCTATTTAACAATTGGCCATCAAACCTTAGACAGTGCCTCCACACTATTTCCATGGGTTGATGATGTGAGGATTTTATTAGAGATCCGTCTATTTGCATTTCTTTACATTTCCGTAAAGGCTGGATATGGGTTACGGGGGAGAATAGCTTTAGCAGGTGGTTTGATACCTCCCTTCCTTAATAAGGTAGCTGACGTCAGAGCAATGGGGCGGTGTGTGTTTGAGAGAGAGAAAGAGAGAGAGAGCGAATGGGAGGAGATGTGTGTTCACAGTGCGCATGTGCAGACAGTGATCTGTGCTGCGGTGGAATAGGGGCTGGAGACACACAACTAGAGAGATGGCGCGGCACCCGACCGGAGCGCAAGGACAGCTGGTTGGCGGTGGGGGGGCTTGAAAATATAAAGAGAATCAGAAAATGATTTTTTTAAAACAACAAAAATATTAAGAAAAAAAGGATACGAAAAAGGAGTTTCCATTCTGCAAAACAGCGTCAGAGGCATAGGAGAATACATGCGAATATAAGGAGAGAAATACCAAAAAGGAGGCTGCTGCAAGGAAAGAAGAAAAAAGCAACAAAAGAAAATTGAACTTTACTGGACGTGAGGACTTCTGCACATCAGGTAGATCATTATAGATGGTTTGTCCACAGCGCTGCCCGGATCATGAACGCACATCTGTCGATGGAAAATATTGGCGACATGCACGGAGTGAGCCATGAGTCCGTGGTCGGTCACGGAGACCTGCTGAGTGGCCACAGTCCGCATGCCCGTTCCCGGGGTCTCAGCCACCGCGCTATGGGCATGGCAACCCTCCTGGACAGCGGGGACTATCACCCCGGACACCACGGACACCTGCACCCAGCCATCAGCATGTGTGAAGTCCCCCCCGGCATGAGTGCAAGCAGCACTTACACCACCCTTACACCCCTGCAGCCCTTACCCCCCATCTCCACCGTGTCCGACAAGTTTCCTTCCCATCATCACCACCACCACCACCATCCCCATCCCCATCATCCTCACCATCATCCGCACCAGAGGATCCCCGGAAATGTCAGCGGCAGTTTTACTTTGATGCGAGAGGACCGGAGTCTGGCGCCTATGAACAGTCTGTACCCCGCATATCATCACAAAGATCCCTGCATGGGCCAGAGCCTCTCCCCGCTGTCTGGTTCCGGTCTGGCCAGCATACACACGTCCCAGGCCGGGATCCCTCCCTACGCTCATCCCGGTGCCGCCATGCCTGGTGAGAAGATGCTCACCCCCAGCGGGTTTGAGGCTCACCACCCCTCCATGCTCGGCAGACACACGGAGCAGCACATGAGCTCCTCGGCGGGCATGGTACAAATCAACGGCCTCCACCACCACCCACACGCCCACCTAGGCGCACAGGGGCACGGCCAGGGGCTGGGGAACAGCCGGGAGCAGGCCTCCGGGCCCGGGCAGCAAGGGGGTGGCGGTGGAGGGGGTGGTGTTTCTGGGGGCCAGATGGAGGAGGTGAATACCAAAGAGGTGGCGCAGAGGATCACCACAGAGCTGAAGCGCTACAGCATCCCTCAGGCCATCTTTGCCCAGCGGGTCCTGTGCAGGTCCCAGGGGACCCTGTCCGACCTGCTGAGAAACCCCAAACCCTGGTCCAAGCTCAAGTCCGGGAGGGAGACCTTCCGCCGCATGTGGAAGTGGCTGCAGGAGCCTGAGTTCCAACGCATGAGTGCGCTCAGGCTCGCAGGTGAGCGAAGCCTCGGTAAAGACCCCTTTTTGTTCTCATCTTCTCATTGTGTTGCTGAGAGAAACAGAAGCGTCTGTTGTGTCAGCACAGAGGATCATTAGCACGGAATGCTACCTTATATTGATCAATGGGTCAAGTGGGCTATGGGGTTAGCTCTTATTTTTTATTATAATACAGAGAAAAAACTATACATCTAGCATTCTAAGTGTAGTGTTAAATCACATCAGGGTAGCATTCAGGGCAAATGATCCCTCTTGGCTGGTTGTACTTTATTCTTATAGCCTAACATGGTTCCAGAAATTATTATTTGATGATAAAATATTCCGGAAGTGAAATGGTATTAAGTGCAGCAGGCCATGCCTCGGGGTTTGGGAGTGTGGTTTCTTTAGATAAGGACCCCACATTTAAGCTTCATGCCTTGGAGGGGAGGTATGTTTGATGGTGAAATCCAACATGATCCAGAGTGTAAACAATATGTGAAGTTTACCAAGCAAATTTTTGTGCACCAACATGAGTGGACTGTTATCAATACGCATTCCTTTTCTGTCTCTACACTGATTTTGGGGTTGTGTGAAACAAGTGCTCATGTCATTTTACCTCAAAATATCGACCACTGGACCGTGCGTAAACTGATCCTTCGCCCAGAAATCGTTAGGAATGTGTTTATTTTGGTGTGGATGCAACCGATCAGCCTTTTTGGTGTTGCCCTTGGTGTAAAAAGAAACATCATGAAAGAGTTATTGACATTTTGTGATAAACTACATTTAAATGTCAAGTAGGCCTACTGGTGAAGAAATGCATGATTTAGTCAGTAAATATATAGTTTTGTCTTCAACATTGTTAAACACAATTCTATACAAACCAGAATACAGTGGAGTGGGAAAGAGAGCATGTGTTTATGTTTTGGTCGTAAACTAACCCTGACTTGAGGTTTCTCTAATGAACTGATAGACCTCTGGATTAATTTGTCCCTGAGGTACGCACGAGTCAATTAGGGCGCGCATTGAGGCCCAAATCACATGTGCCCGTTCACAGACACCCAATGGATTTTTTTACGTTTATAGGCCTAATCAATGACCTAGAAATGGGCTTTTTGGCTTCTTGAAAAGTGAGGCTGCAGCCACATGGAAAGTGCGTGGTTTTGCTTACGTGTGTGTGCGTACGTGCATGTCAGTGCGTGTGCATGTGAGTGTAATCGCAATTGATTACTTTTCAGTTTTCCCATCTGCTGCTGCTGGCATATTTGTGTGTGTGTGCGTGTGGGTAGATGTTATCACTGACTTTTGCTAAGGATTTATGAAAATAATTAATGGAGCCTTTGAAAGCTGGTTTAGTTTTCAATCATCAGCCTATATTAATATTAATTTTTGGTGATTCTTTTTTTTAAATGAAAGAGAAATTAATCATTCATACCTCGAACAAAAATTATCAGTATGTTCCCATTAATCTCTAACTTTTCAAAAGAAAACTATTTTCTTTTACAAGAACAAATGTGTTTTTTTTTTCTTTTCTTGAACCAGAACCTACAATACAGAAATGTGGCTTTTAGTGGAGAAACGCCACAAGGAAAATATATATGACATAGCATAGGAGAGGGAATTATTTTACAGTTAAAAACTAAATTAATTTGGAGGGAATGGGCTGAGCGCCATTTTATTGATAATTTCGTTCCTTGGTGAACTAGATATGTGATCGTATGCTGAAGTGTGATATACTTATTGATCTAGGATTCTGAAATTAATCTCGGGCCTTTTCTCCCTTTCCCACGTATTCAATTACCCATCTGAATTCGCTTGAATAGGAGAATAAAATAGAGAACACAGATAGAAACGATGGATAGAATGAGATACAGAAAATAGATTGAAACTTTTCTGAAGTAGGCATATTTGATAGTGGTAACAATTCATATTTAATAATTAATACATTCAGAACTGAGATATCTATTTAAAATGCGTAAATCAGCTGTAATCGCATTGACAACTTTCCAAAAAAATATTGTTTTCGGGTGTTTTAGGAAATTGAGGGTATTACTATCACAGTAAAGGAGAATACACATTCTCTCAAACAGAGGGTTGAATATTTGCAGGATTTGCAGCACAGAGGTCTGTTTGTTGTTCTCTGTGAGATTATGAAATGCAGGACTAACCGTGTCTGTAGGCCCAGTGTGTGCAGTCTGTTTGAGTGTGTGGAGTTATCTGTGTTTGTAATGATTAGCCGGGTGCAGCAGCAGTGTGTGTGTATATATGTGTGTGGGTGTGTGATTAGCGTGATAACGAGGCCGCTGTTGTGCCCCCCTGTCCTGGGAAAGCTGGCTCTCTGGCCGGGCCTCAGCTCCGATCGGGCCGCTGTGTGGAGGCTGCTGCTGTCGGAGTGGCCTTCACTGCTGCTGATTTATAGCAGCACCGGCACTCTGTTAATATTTACCAGCACTGGAGACACCGGGCTGCTTAAACTCACAATAATACTCCAGTTTATGGTCATGCAGGCTAGGTCGCTGCACTGTACTTTTACTACACACCGTGTAGTGTGTGCAGAAGTGAGGTTACAAGGTGGGATCGGCAAAATCAGCTTCAACTCAACTCATTTATATAAATAATCATTATTTCAATATATTTTCTCTCCCTAATGAGTTACTGTTTCTTTACTGCACGTGGATTTTAAAAGGCAATGGCATTTATGCAAAACTAATATCCCAAAATATAGGACTAAATGAACCCCTTTCTTTATGTAATATAGAATAGCTGATCGTTTTCATAGATAGGCCTATAAGAGGCATTTTTTCCCAATGTGTTGTTCTGCTGCACTTATGCATTTATATCATACTGCCTTTGTTAATTACAGGGTTTAGGGATTTTCTATAATACATTTATTTACTACATTTAATACATTTACTCGGTACACTTTGCAAAATTATTCGTCACTGGTGTGGGAGTTGTTTTGGGGTTGGTAGATGCCGTTTCCCCGGTGAGTCCATGTTGGGCCTCGCTCCAGCAGCCCACTTCTGCCCCCTCCTGGCCTCAGATGAACCTCAATTTTGGATGGTTGTCCTCGGGCTTAATAAGAAAAAAATGAAAGAGCAATGAGATCATTTGTAGTGATGTTTGATTTGCTGTCACACAGAATCCCAAATTCTTCTTTCCAATATTAGATGATCTGTTGTTTATTTTTCTAAAACTCAAGTATATTGCGGTGCACCTTTTGTTTTCAGCACCGCGGACAGCGCTCATTGTTTCCCGGCGGACAGGCTTTCTGTCTGTCAGCCCTCCTCCCCAACATGGGGCTCCCTGAACAAATGCAATAGAGTTTAATTCCTCTGTTATTCCCCATGCACCCCCGCGGTGTGCACACTGAAAGAGTTTTAGTGTTTCGATTCGAACAAAGGTGCAAAAGCGATTCCAACCTGCAGGCTGTTGCATGTGTCTGTACAAAGTTACAACCAACAGATAACATCTAAAAGGGTTGCCTTAGGAATAGTCTTAAAACAATTGTAGTCATGTAAGGATCAGAGATAAATAAACACTTTGACATGCTCCCATTACTACAACATCACTAAATGTTCAGTTAATCTAGTGTATATACTCTTTTGTTCTTGGTTTACAAGCTGCAGCAGCAGAGAGAGATATACAGAGTGTGTATCATTCAGATCCGCGGTTAGATCTTTCAGTTAGGTTGAAGATATTCTCCAGACATTAGTTGAAAATGCTTTTTTCCAAATTGTTTATGGATGTTTTTTGTCAACGTACAGGACACAGTGCCAATTTAAAAGCAATATTGGTATACGTTAGATAGTACTTTTACTGGTGATATTGGATGATTGTGGAATTATCATGTTGGCTCTTAGGATACAATTACTCGATACAATTATTATATGTCAACACTATCTTGATATAAGTATCTATGAAAATCTTAACCAGTTTTGGTCCTGCATTTGTGCACCAAATAATCTATATTTGAGTTAGTTTGGCTCAAAATGGAATGGAAAATATCTGATTTTGGTATTGGCTTTAAATAAACATCCCAGTGTGTCCTGAATGAAATCATACTTCTATCTGGAGCTAGTATTGAGGTGAACCAATGAGATAATACATAGGTCAGTCAGTCAATATATTTATTTAACCCTTTTTTTTAATCCAAGGTCAAGGTGTGATAGAGGGAAGATTTTCATGCCGGTCAAGATTGTTGTATTTATACAAGTATATAAGTTAGTTACAAAAATACAATAAACACAGCAGCACAATAATAATAAAACTGTACACTAACAGTGCAGTAAAAAGAGCAATGCAATAACTACAGGAAACATAGATGGTCACATAATTAATGTACATATTAACAGTATTTGGTATTTATTCTGCCCTTTCTCACAAACCTATTCTCTCTTTCTGTCTGTCTTCTGAATCCACAGCATGTAAGCGTAAGGAACAGGACCACGGCAGAAGCGAGCGGGGGAGCATGTCCAAGAAGCCCCGGCTGGTGTTCACAGATGTGCAGCGGCGGACGCTCCATGCTATCTTCAAAGAGAACAAGCGTCCATCCAAAGAGCTGCAGATCACCATCGCCCAGCAGCTGGGCCTGGAGCTGACCACAGTCAGCAACTTCTTCATGAACGCACGCCGCCGGAGCCTCGATAAGTGGGTGGACGACGGCTCCGGTCACCCTGGCCCCAACTCCTGCACCAAAGCCTGAAGACGGACTGAAATGACCAACTCATGGACTGACTCAACCTCGGTGGAAAAGCTTTAAAACTTATGAGAAACAAAGAGAAACTTAAAAAGACCTTGAAGCAACGTTTTGCCCTTAAACCTGTACTATATTGATATTTATAGTATCCAAAGATGAAAAAACAAACCAAAGACTTCTTGTTTGACCTGCTTTGAAATGTTTGTTTCAGCAACACATTTACGTGTAACATACTGCAAAAAGACTATAGTTTTACCCCCCCTTCATACACACTCACTGTCACTGGTCTCTAGCTTTACCCCCCAACACCTCCCCACTCAGTATCAATCTATCATTCACCATCCTTATCTTTAATCTGATTGGTTGGTTTTAATGATGGGTCCCTAAATGGAGGTTTAATCACCCTATTGGCAGTCTGATCTGCAGCTGTCCACACCCTTGAAGAACAGCCAGAATGTGGAGCTCCGGTGGGATTGGCCAATCAACTTTAAAGACACAAAATCCTACAGGAGCGACCGGATTGTTGTGCAACCTTGTTTGGATCGGTGGCGGTGGACTGTCTGTCTATCTGTCTGTCTGTCCAGCTGTCTGTCTTTCTATCAAGCATTCCAGACAGACGGGGAAATGCCCATGTGTAGACTGCTAACCCAAAACCAAAAAATCCTGAACAATACCAAAAAAAAAACCCTAACCTCAACACCCATGGTAGTGCTTTCTTCCAACATGCTGAAGCGTTGAATAATTTAAACAAGAGAAACCAAAGCCTTCTACAACCTGAAGCCTCTCATGCATCTTAGAAATCAAACCACTTCAGATTCTGCTATGAAGTAATCGAACCAAAGAGTCTATTTTGTATCTTACCTCCTGAGACTGTTAGTCGCCACAACGAAGATAATGTCACCGCTTATGGTCCATACCACATTTGGCGCCATATGTTCCCCGCAAATAGAAATATTATATGACACAACTCTGAGAATTGACTATTGATATTTGCCTTATGGATGCCTTTTCTAATCAAACCAAATATTCCAGTGATATCTTCACAAACACTCTGGTGAATGTTGCTTTAAATGTGAAGATTAATCATGACAGATACATCCTTTCCTCTGAGTCTGTCCCACAGATTTAGCTAAACTTTATTTTGAAATACCAGCAGCCAAAGAACAAAGACTAATCCATTCGGTAGTGTGTTATCGCTGCAAAGGTGAAACCAAAGATGTTGCCTCTCATGCCGAGTATATGTGACACAGTGAGGGAGACAGACGGCCTCTGATGGGTTTTTTTTGTGTCACCACTCTAATAATAAGCATCGGCGTCCCTGTGCATTTGATTTTATCTCCTCATCAAAGATGTTCGGTAGAGGGGATGATATCAATGATCAAATCACTTTCAGGCGCTTACGCATCAATGTCACCTCGTCACCTGAATACGAAAGCAACCCACTCTGCCTGTTGCAAACCCCCCCCCCCCCCCCCCATCCTGCCTCCGTAAGCTATGCATTTCAGCACTAGGAGGAAAGCACTACACAGGGCTGGCCCAGGGCAGCGTATCATTAAATATATTGAGCTGCCCCCCCCCCCCTTGCCGCCATCCTCCTTATGGCCAGGGTTAGCAGCTCTACATCCATCAGAACAAGCGCTGACGGAGAGGAGAGAGGGAGCTGCTTCTTCACCTCCGAAAGAAATAACCAAAAAGACGACAAGAAACAAAAAATGTGTCAAGACCTGCTGATGTTTTATAGTGTGTACCAAAGATGCTACCTCACTCAAGTTCCATACGTGATTTCTATCACTTTGATGATACCAAAGATAACCAAAGATTTTTTCTCATTGCACGGCCTCTACGAGTGGTGTTTTAAAGATGTTGTATGTCACCCCTCCCCCCCCACCCGGCTCCTCTATCTCTCTTCCTTTCTTCTCCCCCTCCCACCTGCTCTCCACCCATGCACCCCTGCTATGCGTGCTCTTGCTTCATCTGTGCTCTGATTACAGCTCCATAGATAGTCATGCTGATGTAGCTATAGGCGGATATGCTGATCTAGCCATAGATACACACAGGCGGCCATGCAGGGGCCTGCGGGGTACAGACAACTCACTAGCAATCTGATTTATCATCTTTGTAGCAGTACCAAAGTATTTATTTCACTACAACATTTAAAAAAAAAGCTAAAATTGTGGTTGTATAATCAAATAAAGTTTTAGTTTGGTGCATGATTCACCTCAAAATAGTGTACCCCGCTGTGTCTATTTTTGCAGCTTTATTTCTACTCCAGCCTCTTAGTGTGTATCTATAGGTTGATAATATTGATCCACCATATAGGTCAGACTTCTTGACATGATAATAGGCAGACAAGCCGACATAGCCATGGGCAGAAATGTTGACTCAACTATAGGCAGACATGTTCCTGAAAGTAGAAGCAGACGTGTTGCAATCTTTCTAAAACTCCCAGGACGAGTGCCTTGCTTGAACCAAAGTGTTATACCGCTGTTGACCTCTCACCTTTGACTCTGTGAATACCTCAGCCTGTAGAAGGGCCACTACTGAAGAGACAAGGAAAAGGTTTTTTTTTTTGGTTTTTTAATCACACCGTGGTGCTTTCGCCAGCGCAACCATGCAATGAAAACATACCAAAGGAATTTCTCTTGTCCACTACAGATTAAACCAAAGGTCTTTGTTTCTCCTCTCTCTCGCCCTCTCTCGCCCCCTTCATCCCTCCTTCCCCAAACCTTCCTCGTCTCTCTGCTGTGTGTAAGAAGGTTCAGCACTCTGGCCGTGCATGTCTTTACCAATGTCTCTGAATACCTCATAGTAATAATTCCTTTGAGTTCTGCATTGAGACGTCTATCTGTGAGTAAGGCAGAACTCCACTCGTGTGGTAACTGTTGTTGTTACTTCAAAAAGCTGTATGATTATCTATTTTGAAGTTGTTGTTTTTTTGGCAGATGTGCTCTGTTTCAAGTCACGGACGACAAGTTTCAGGGTTGATGTACGAAACTTAAGGGATGGAGGGAGAAGCGTATTTTTTATCAGACATTGGGTTATGCCAATATTATGATGGTAGACTATTGCTTTTACAGGGTAAAACCAACTGCTGTGATATTGTGTTTATATTTTGCCTTTTTCTCTACTTCTGTGTTGTGATTTTAATTTAATTGCATTTTTGTAATGGTTAACCACTGCTTTAATTTATGCATTTGTAGAAACTCTAGATTTGTATATAGTAGGTTTTTGAAGAAAAAAAACAAACAAAAAAGAAAGTTTTATGTTACAGCCTTATTTCCCACGCTTAGATATAAAAGGAGTAGTTTGTATTCTTCTTCAGCTAAATCCTAGCCGGCATTTCAATGTGTGTTTTAAACACTGCCAGAAACCCAGACAGTTGATTTGCCAACGCAGACAAAGTGATACAGGAGCTACTTTGTTTAACAGCTGGCAAAAAGCAGTGTGTACGTGTGTGTGTTTTTTCTATTCTTTTGACTTTTTAAAAGAAAAACGGTTATTTTATGGGTATTAACTGCACATCCAAAGATTTTTAAAACAAACCAAAAATTGGAAAAAAATATGTATAATGTTGAAAAGCACTGGCATTTGTGAGGTAGACTTGTTGAGTTTTGATTTGCCATTCGCACGGGTATAGAATGTAGAAGGCGTAGGGCTATGTAGACAAGCTTACTCTACCATGTGGGGAATCTCCTGTTCAATGTACAATCTGAAGCATTTGAAACGAGGGCTGCAAGTCCCGCTCACTTTGCTGTCTCATGCACAGAGTGAGGTGGAGTGGAGGCTGGGCAGCCGGTCTGCCAGGGGCTGTGCCGCGGAGCTGGGTCTGTTTTTATTGCCGTGGCACTGCCGCCTCGCTCCATCTAGTATCTGTTCTTTTGGTACGTACTCGTGTAATGACTATGAGCAAAGTCTAATAAAACTGCAAAGAACTAACCAAGGAATCAGTGTGTGAGTGTATGGGGACGATCACCTGCTTGTTTTTTTTTCTGTCTGTGGATGAGTGTGTGCAACTCACATGTCAAGTGCTGCTGAGGTATGCAAGTTTGTATGTGTGTGTTTATTTGCATGTGTTTCTTTACTGTGTGTTCTTCTATTTTTGAAATCTGTACGTACTGCTGGTGTGTATGCATGTGTGTGTCTGATTGGGGCATACACCAACAGTGAGTTTGACTCCCTCTGGTTGTCAGAGGCCTTACTGTTAGTACTGCTTCCTCTCTGTCATACAGACAGCACAGTATCAGCATGTGTGCACTCACAGAACGGAGAACATTTTTCAGCTAAGTACAGGTGCTTACAGAACAAGTATAACTGCATGAGGATATGAATGATGCAGTGTGAATCTATTTTCCCCCATTACCACATTTTCTGTTATTTATTTCGTCCATAAGGAGTTCCCATGTGATGGGTGGCTTGGCTACAAGTCTCATAACAATACTGCGGCGCCTAAGACAATCATCTGGATCTCTTAACGCTGGGGAACTAGTTTATCACCCGCAGAGGGGTGTCCTCCAGCTATTCACATACAAAGATGCTTGAAAGGGTTTTGATAAACAAGCATATTTGTTGTCATAGACATAATAGATTACAGTAGTAGTTCATCCTGCACTTGCATTTCCAAATGAAATCTCATTGCTCTCGTCGGCCTTGTGCTCTTGTCAACCTTGTTCTCTTTCTTTTTATCTTCTCAACTCACAAAGCTTCTTCAGTTTTCAGTGTGTGTGGTTTTGTGCGTGTGTGTGTCTGAGTGTGTGTTTGGGTGCGTGAGTGCCTGTGTGTGTGAGTGTGCCAGAGAGGCAATACTGTCAGTGTTACTCTCAGATGTATAACTCCATGTCTCATGACCTGATTTGTCATTGCTGTTTCCCAGGCTTTGCTACTGCTTTCTCAGTGCCGTGCAATATCATCTGTTGTGATTGCTAAGCAAATGAAAAAAAAAGAAAGAAAATTGAGAAGCAAGTGATGATGTCATCCAGCTTTTTTCAGTGTTCAAAATGTTTCAACATTTCTGTAGTCACAAAAAGTAGAAAATAAAATGTTGGTATTTCCAGCTTCTGAATCTTGGCTCTTGTTATTATTATTATTATTATTATTCATTTATACTGTTGTGTTTTGATTTGTCTTTTGTATTGCTCAGACAGGCAAATTGAATCAATAAAACATCAAATCAGACAAAGAAGTACAGAGGACAAGACCAGCCTGCATAATGAGTCTGTTTTGAACCTCCATGACAAAAACTAAACGTTGAATAACCCATATATTTATATTCTGTGCAAAGTATTTTATTAAGGTGGAGTAAACAAATGATATAAAGTTATCCTAAAGTGAACAAGAGAGCTTAATTATTGACTGAATGTAAATGTTCCATTCAGTTTAACCTAAAATGTTTAACTCCATGCAAACCATTTTCTAAAGTTGGAACAACAGATTTCACGTTGTCACAAAACCTTGTGTCAATATTTGAAATGTATAGCAAATACTAATTAAACAAAGCTTCAGATAGATCTGGCAATAGGGTATGTCCTGTAAGTTGTCAGCAGTGTTAAGAATCCTCCACCATCAAAGATATATGCACATGCTGTATGTTTCTGTGTGAATCTTAAATCAATGTTATCACATCATAGTTGATATCACCTCTACATAATGCTCCGTCAAAATGTTGTGTCATAGTCCGACAGCATTTGAGAAACTTGGTCTCTTCTGCTTTTAAAACGCCACACTGCATTAATACATGGCCTGTAGTACTGCCAACTTTGCAGTGGTTGCAGCTATTTCAGCATCTAAAGCAAACTGCTCTCTTTTCCTCTTTAGCTGTTGGTGCTCCTCCAAAGCATGACTTTCCTTAAAAACTGCAGCACGAGCAACAAGTGCAGCTCTTCTGCCGCTGCCTTTACCAGAGATGAGGATGTGGTGCTTGATCTTCTACTTTTAGTCCTTCAGCTTGAGTATTTACTGACAACATTTGACAAACCATCATTAGGATTTATATAATCCTCAGTAAGCATTTGTTGCGTCACCTTTTCTAAATGAAACCCACTTTTTTGTTTCAGTGATTCACTCATCATTGCTTTCCCAATATGTTTTTGCTTTAAACGATATTTCGTGTTTTTCTGTTTCTTCACAGTAAACACGTGACAAGACACACCCTAAAATACCTGTGCCCTCGGTAATTGGACAGCGACACCCTATGGCACACAAAATAAATAACACACAATGTTGTGCCATAGGGTGTCGCTGTCCAATTACCTAGGGCACAGGTATTTTAGGGTGTGTCTTGTCACGTGATTGGGTGTGTCTGACAACTGGAAGAGTATCTGGTTTTTTGATCGCCGTGGCGCGAGTGTTTGTACCACAGTGGGGGTGTTTCTCAATGTCGAGGGAGGCTGCTCCAGAGCCACTATTGGCTCTTACACAAATCATTACGGCTCTTACACAAATCATTACGCAACATTTTTTAACTGCCTTTGTGAACATAAAATGATATAATTTAATGTCAGTCATCCACCAGAATTGCAAGCTTAATAATGCTGACACTTTTGTTATCTGCTCCAAATCAATAAATTACTCTGCATGTATTTGTGAGCTGTGTGTGAGTATTTTTCAGCTCTTTAAATAGGTAACAGAGTACTGGATAAAGCTGTGTGCCACATGATGAATGATGCTCTCTTATTCAAGAATGTGACTTGAATGAAGATTGAAGAGTCCCAGGACAGTGACCAAAGGGAGTCCCACCACTCTGCAACATGACTGACCTCTTTCACTTCAGGTGAAATCTTTTTTCTACAACCTGTCTTTCACTCCCTGGAGTTGTTGGACTTGCCCTTCCCCTTTGCTCCTCTTTCCCTCTTCTAATTTTGTCATCGTATTTATTTAGGATAGATAATCAATAGATATTTTTTTAAATGTAATTAGTGTTTTTCTTTATGTGCTGCATTACTAGTATGCTGCCACCAGGTGGGGCCAGGACATGGATTTTCAAAACAAGAACTTCTTTGTTTGCATTTACAAACATTGAAACTAAAAGTAGCACCCAAAAAGATTATTCAAGCTTATATTCTAACACTTTTGAACAGTATAGTCAATATCTACAAACACAGAAAACTGTCTCTGCACATTTTAAATCAGAGATAACCTATATATTGTAAATGTTAGGTTCAATGAACATTGTGTACTAGAAGTAGAAATGAGGTTACATAAATGCAGATTGCACACCTGCAAATCATAAAACATTTCCACATATATTTTTTAAATCAGCATGGTTGTTGTTTGTAGCTTTCTGGATTCTGCTACTGTGCTATTAGTAGCAGAATCCACTGCAACACTGCTACTATTAGCAGTGTTGCAATGCAGGCCTTTGCAGCTCCGCGCAAACCACAACTTTAAATGCCAGCTTTCTTTTCACACACTAAAATAACACACCTCTTTGTTTCTGGCACAGCTGTGATTGGATAGTTGCCGAACTACTACAATTAAATAGAACACAATTACAGTTTGGGCACCAGTGTAAACTAAAAGTGACTGATCTTCACAAAGCTGTTAAACACCAAGCATGCTATTTTTTTTTATCACAGATTCTTACTACCACAAGGTTTGCAAAGCATTTCAACCACAGAGGTTTGCTTTCATTGCACAATGTTGCTCTACTTTTTATATTTAGGAGATAATTAATCATTTGTGCAAATGAGATTTGATTTTCACAAAATGACATTTTCTCAGTTCCAGCACACACTTATCACTAACTTCTGCAATGATATCTTCCAAAGCATTGATGTCAGTACAACATATCTTTATCAGGGCCTTTCCTTTTCACTGTAACATTGACTCCTTGTAATAGATCAATGCAGAGATGATAGTGTGTAAGGGACTTTTTTGTCAAACTCAAATACACAGTGGGCCAACATTAAAAAATCGGTACTAGTCGAGGGCCGGACTGGTTCAATGTTTATTGCAAAACTTATTGAAATGAACTTATTGCACATATTAAACCTGGAACTAACAAAGCTTAAATTATTGCCTATAAAAACAACATTACACATGAAATAATCAGTTGCATTCATTTCTTATGGCTCTATCTGCAGCTTTTCCGGAGTCATTTCTTATGATTAAGCTTTTCCACAGGCCAACAACAGATTCAAAAAAACAATTCCCCTCAAAGAAAAAACAAACATGCCCTGTTGTCGCAAGAAAAAAAGTGCAGAAGGAAACATCCATTGAAACTCAGTTTGCTGCTCTGTGATGCTAGTTCAAGCCAGATACTTGGCATCTCATCTTGGGTGCAAGTTCATCAATGTTTGGGCTCAGGCTCTGAGCTGAGGAAACCCTCAAGTTGAGTGAAGGTGTGCGTGCAATATACCGGCGGGCCAGATCTAATAGTAATTAAAAATTATCCTGTGGGCCGAAATTAAATCCACCATGGGCCTGATTTGGCCCCCGGGCCTTGAGTTTGACACATGTGTTCTAAGGAATTGATTCCCTGTATCACAAAGGAGAGGAGCAAGTGGTGCACATGTTGCTCTAATGATAAATAGGTTTAACCACGTAACTAAATACCTGGCATGTCATGTTAGTCTGCTGTCATTTTGTTGTAGACTGGACATTTTTAGCCTATTTAGCAACAGTAGAATGGCTTTCACAGTTTCTTTAACCCATGCTACCACAAACAACCTTGCAATAGTTGCCTAATCAACCCCCAAACAGCTCCCTCGCCCAGCTGCTAAAACCTGATTTTTTTTGGTGAGTTGTGCAGGATGACAAACTGGTGAATAAGGCTTTATTTGACTCATCACTGATCACACACTGTATGAACTACAATGGTAAACAACAGGTGTTTTCTCAATTCTGTGTGTAAATCAGTGACAGAAGGGTAACTGTAAACTTTGCTCGTTTACCAGATAAATGCCCTCCATCAACTGGTAGATGTTTGCATTGTTGTTGTTGACCTCATGACCCTACATTATCTGGGTCACTTTACTCTGGTATCTGAAACACAGGGTAGCAAATTCAATCAACTCTCATCAAAGAGTCTGAAAGGTCCTGATTTAAAAAAAAAAAATAATGTTTGGTTTAGGATAGTTTTTTGAAAATGTTTTAATAATACTAGAAATGTCTCAGCTAAAGACCACCCCAAATCTATCTGTGTGTGTAGCAAACACCAATAACACACAGAGTACAACTGCAGCTGCCAGATTTGGCAGATGTATGGAGCAGATTCTAGTGTCCTCATGTTGGCCTTTCGCCTTTGTTTCAAGAGGTTAAGCAGAGAAAAGATTACAGCAGAGCTCCCCCTCTGTGCCTTTCTGTCCGTGCCACAATGACAATGGACCACATTTTAGGCCTAACAGAAAGTTTAGCAGAGAGTATGAGCCTAAGAATACTATTTCTTTTTTTATATATGTTTGGAGAGTTTTTGGGCACTCCTCATTACACCAAGCCTGTGTTGGATGCTGGTTTGTGAATATTTATGGTTTCATTCTTGTTTGATGTTGAACTGTGTATCTAGCATTGCTTTGGTCATAACATCAACTTTGGCCTAAATAAAGATTTAAAAAAAAAAATGCTTGCCATCAGGTGTGACTACGAGTGGGTTACAGGAGAGAAGCACTGATATGAACAGGGTGTCCTCAGTATTTTATAGTCTCATGTATACATTTCTGGTTGGCCCAATATTAACCTGTCATAGTGTGATTGTTTTAATTTTCTATGTGTTGTAGGTTACAACCCAGCTTCTACTGTTAAATATCACTAATATTCTTAAAACACATTATATAAAACTCTCTTTTGTTTAACAACATAACAAAGGACTAATAAAGGACGGTTTATTCCTGTCGGTTTACACATGCAAACATATGCATTGGTGTCAAAAATAACTAAAGTTAATGACTTATTAATTTGACAACAGCATGCAACAAAGTGTTTTCTGTACCCGGCTTAAATACAAGTTTGCGCTACCTGAGGTTTACTTAAGCATTATTTATTTTACTGCACTACATTTGTTCTGACAGTATTAGTTACTTTTAACCTTTTCATTCTTTGTAATGTTGACCTTATCAGTGCAAAAATATAAAACATACAAAGAAGTTTTATATGGCAAAATATAAAGTTATTATTTAACTCAACCTTTAACAGCTGCATCATTCAAATGTATAACATAGAAGCACTGATAATAGTCCAATATAATAGGTTATACATATTCTGAAATGTGCCTTTCTGCATAATGAGGCCTTCTTTACATTTTACGCTGAATGCAGGACTTTTACTTAAGTGAAATAACTGGACAGTTCTTGTTGCCAGTAACTTTTCCTGGCATTTAAAGTCCCTCAGTCAGAGAAGACTTTGTCCTACACCCCCAGCATTACTTGAACACACGATCTGTGGCTCCCTCACGAGCCAGTACAAAATGTTCACGACGGGAAAAAACGAACCCTCACGTGCGCACGTGAACGCGCACCAAATGACCAATCAGCTGACGAGCCCCTCTCCTGTTTCTTCCGTGTGTCAGAAATAGTACTACAAGTGTAAATAAATACACTTATACCGGAGTTTAATTTATTGAACATGTTGTCATAAGATACAAGTTTTGGTACCACTTTTGGTAACTTTGCCGTTGCTATGGCTGCGAGTTCACGTGAGGCTGTGTCCGCGAGGGAAGTGACGACTGGGGCTGTTGTTGGGACACGTGACTGAGCTGCACTGATCTGTGGGGGGAAGCGAGGAGAAAGGGAGGCAGATTGTAAGCATCACGACTATAGGAGGACTCTCTGTTCCTTTCATCTGCATATCGTCTGAGTATTATCGACAATAGAGTTCTAGTTTTAGGAGGCCTGTCAGCGTTTAAATAGGGTTTAGTTGTGGTTAAACGCCAGTGGGAAACGTTGCCGTTTGTTTCGAAGCGTTGGAGACTCTGTTGTTGTTGCTTTGAAAAGTTTTAATGAAGATCGCAAAAGGAAGTCAACACAGGTGGCGTTACTAGCGTTAAATAGATGGCGACTTTACGAAGACTGTGGATAGATATAAAGTGGATATTTAACATATTTGCGTGAAGAAGGATGCGCTGATTATCGTAGCAAAAAAACCAAAAAAACCGAGAGAATCCGTCATCGGTGTTTGCAGCTGAGCTACCTGCGTTATTATTGGGGGTTGGGATGTTTTGGGAGGTCGTCGTCACCATTAGAGGCTTAACCAAAACGTTAAGTTAGTACGCTGCTGAGTGAGCACCCCCCCTCCCTGTTTTGGTGTCGTTGAGATGGGACACAGAAATGCACCGCGACGGAACTATGGTTCAGGTGGAGGAATTTGAGACGAGCTGTAAGAGTAGCCAGCTCGCTAGTTAAATCACTAGTCGTCAGATTGGTTACTCGCTAGCAAGCAGATTGACAACCCCATACCCTCTAACGCTAACAGGCTATCAGCTGTCTTTGTGTGGACAACACAGTGCGACTCGATGGAAGCGTACAGTAGCATGCTAACAAAGCAATGCTTTGTTGTTGGATAGGGGGCAGCTGGCACCAACACACAGGCATCAAAGCAAGAATATTGCTTAGCTAAGACTCGAGGGGTTTGGGGTGGTCCAGACACCGTTGTGTGTGTGTGAACTTAAACGAAGAGAAGACAACTGCAAGAGACCCTGAAGGCAACCTGATGACACTGGACAACATGAAGTCGGAGAGAGGTAAGCAACACACACAAATGTAGGGAGGACTTGATGGTCAGTGTGTGGGCAAACTGAATTCCCAGCTTTAGTGTCCTGACAGTACCTGTCCCCCTGAGAGGAGAATCAGGCCAGGGAATTATGTAACAGCTGGTCATCCTGGGCACTGGTTATGTGACAAAGCCTGACCCTAGTCAACGAGGACATGTCCATATAACACACTGTGCTAGTTTTTTACACGAATGTCAGCTGTTTATTTTCCCAATTTCATCTGCACCAATATATAACCTGCACGATCCACCCATGCCAAATGCTGTTCCCCTTTCCAGTAGTTCTTGTTTTGACAGCACAAGGCTGCTGCAAAATGTTCTTGACATCCACCCTGTTATGGAAATCTGGCTCCTGCCATATGCTCTGCAACCTGTTTACATGTCACTGTATCCGCAGCAAGAGGTAAAACAGGGACAGAAGGGGACACCCTTGTTTGTTTCAATGTGATTATGCTAATGTTATTATGACATTCATTTGTAAAGGGTATTACCTACCTTAATTTGTGCCCAGACATAATTTAACATTAGGTGTACCTTGTTGTATAAGCTAAGTCATTCACTTTATTATCGATTGGTTGTTTGTGATCCAGGGTAACTGCTGACTTGATGTCAACAACACAAGAGCGCCATACTTGGAAGCATTGAAGGGACACTGTTCTCAGATTAGCTGCAGTCAATCATGGATGGTCTCTGTTTTTGGATAGGTTATGGAAATGCTGTGAGTGTTATCTTCCTCAGAGCACAATATGCTTGTAATGGGACTCCACTACACACAGTAAACATGTGCCCTAAATGGCCCCACACTTTTAACCCTAACCTTGCTTTGACTGTAGGCCCTTATATAGAAGCACTGACCCAGACATCTGTGTGATGTGACCCGAGTAAAGGCCACACTGACTGACTGACACTGTACAGTGTAATTATAGCCTAATAATATCACACAGCATGCTGGGTCAGCTGTGAGCATCAACACTCATGTTGTGTGTCGTAGTACTGGTTGGGATAATGACTCCAATTGGGTGATATTGGGATAATTTACAACCGAATATCCAGCCAAAAAGACTGAGATCTGTTGCTCTAAGGCACATTTCTACAGCAAGTCTGTTTTTCACCCCTCATGGATTTTCAGCATGTCAAGTTGGCTCACTCACTTTCATGTTCTAATTATGAAAGCTTGTGCCTTCTCCCTGTTTGACTGGCAGGCACGACAGGGCTATTGTTATTTGGCACATACTGTACTGTTCCATTGGTGCAGATACCATTGCTTATAGCGCACAATCCTTCCTCCTTTTGCCTATCCCCCCCCCCTGCTCTCAGAGAAAGGGACTGCATTGTTGAGAGAGGCTGTTTACTTAGTAGCCTTGGTAGCCTTTGCCACAGAAAAGTCGAGTTGAGCACATAGCCAGCAGTTTCTCTGCTCTGATGCTGGATTGAGGGTTCCTACAAGAGTCTAGCTATATTTGTCTGAAAGGGAGAGCTGAACAAGTCCAGACATGTACATTAAAGACCTGCAGCAAGCATCCCAGGCTGTGACCTCCTGATCAGATGGGTGTGGACAGTCAAGGCTTTGATTGTTGGGGAACTGGTAATGCTCAAATCATACATATGGAATTTTGATTTGACCAGTTCAAATCAAAGTTATTTTTAAAGTGTTTTCTATAATAAACGCCTGATAATTTCTGGAGAATCAGGTCTGGACATTATGTGCAGTTTCCCTTTCACACCTGTAGCACACAACAAGAGATTCACTGTGCTTTATCACTTACTTGATATACCATGTCAAGTAAGATTGGTGGGAAGAGCTTACAGGAGGTTCTGTTAGACACAATGTAAAAACACAGCGGTGACATAGGTGGTTTAAATTTGATCATAAGCAATCTAGTCTGTTGCCATTCCTCAAATTTGTCTAAAAATGTTGTCCTTGGCGTTTACTTACAGAAGTCTGTACATTTTGCCGTCTTTCCAGTTAGGATTTTTCAATGTTTCATTAGTTGGAAACCCTTTATGACAATTGGTATCCAAAGGAGAAGTGGTATCGGATTACGTTTTCCAAGACCTCAACTCCTGATGGAAACAAATACAGTAGTTTTTGCAGCATCTCTTTGTGAGCAATGCCTTTTGTTAAAAAAGGAGAATAGGAGCACTTGTGTTCTACTCACGGGCCTAAACTGACCTCCTTGTATTTTTGTGAGTCGAACTGTGAGTCAGGATAGTTTGTGTGTGTGTGTGGGTGTGACTAGAGAGTGAGTGTAGCAGAGAGTTCCCAAACAGACTGCTATTGGCCCTAATAAGAGCTGCACCGTTGAACCATGTGGCTCAACTGACTTTTTACAGGTCCCATAATGAGCAGCTACGGAAAACTCGGGACCTGTTTACCAGTCGGGGAAAACATGGCTCGTCATATCGGGTTTCAAACTGTTTTCAGCTGAAGTGGGGTAAAGATGTGTTCTTTAAGACAGGGGTTCCCAACCCCCGGTCCGCGGACCGGTACCGGGCCGCGGAGGTGTTACTGCCGGGCCGCGAAATAGCTGTGAGTTTATCGTAATATTTGCAGAATTATAAATATATAAATATTTTATCATAATATTTTTTTCAAAAAGTGTTTAATTTTCGCACCTATACCAGTCATATTATTTCATCCAGTAGCTAGTTACTCTTTCACCAGAAAACCGTTGAAAATGGCTTTTATGATGTTCCGAGGGATTCGGCGGCTCAGCCTAAGGTCTCAGCCTCTTGTGCGCACGAGCATGTTACCGGTGCGCCAAGTAGGAAGAGGAGCGCACAGGAGACAACCGTTTGATTGCAGACTGTTATGTTTATGTGGGGAAATGGTGGTGCATACATTATTTGAGATAGATTTCAAACTCGGACTTCATTTTAAGGACATGTCGGCCAGGGGTGTAGAGGAGCTATTTGTTTAAGCACCGGATTGGCAAAACAGGAGAGTAAACCAGTCTGCCTTGATCTATGAATTAATGTCCGGGACTCTCACGGTATCTGCTGCCCGCAGCTGTTTTATAGAAGGAAACCCTCCTTCACTTCTTGAAATGGCTGCAGCATCAGGAGGCAGCGGGACGTGTACTCGGTAAAGAGCTGTGCCTTTTTACGCACCGCCTCCGCTGTGTTTAACTTAATCAGAACAGTTTAAGAGTAACTGCAGGCTGCTACGTGTTAACCACACACACATCTACACACATCGAACTGCCCGATTACTCCCCCTTTTATTAGTTTTATGAAGGAGATGTCCAGTCAGTCACCAAGGCGCATGATGTGTGTGTGTATGTGCTCTGCTCAGCTCAGCTCTGTGTGTTCGGTGTGTTTGTGTCTGTCCGACAGCGGCATATATGCGGCTGTTCCCAAAATAAATTAGTTTAATCTTAATCTCGATGTAGTGCTAAATGCTGTCGGGAGAGCACCGGAACGAACGACACGATCATAATATCTTCCGAAAACAAATGCCAGTGACACACACACACACACACACACACACACACACACACACACACACACACACACACACACACACACACACACACACACACACACAACACACACACACACACACACACACACACACACACACACACACACACACACACACACACACACACACACACACACACACACACACACACACACACACACACACACACACACACACACCCTGGCGACCGGACATCTCCTTCATAATGCGCCTTCTCCTCGTTTTCCCAGCATTCACTGGATTATCCGTAAATCATACAAACAAAACCAAAACGTTGATTTATCTGTTTTCCCGTTTTGGTTTAAAAACTGAATAACGTCGGTTTTTTGGTTTTCCGAAAAACCAAAAAACAACACCGGTTCTTTTTTAAACTTTGTTAATATGTTTTGGATGCATATTGTTCTAGTATTTGTTCAGGCTGTTACATACAATTAGCCTCTGATGCTACCTGCTGGTGGTGAGTAAATATTAAAATCGGTTAAAATTGACAACCGGTCCGCGATTTTTTTTTAATGTATCTACCGGTCCTTAGCACAATAAAGGTTGGGAACCCCTGCTTTAAGACATCATTTTGTTTTGTTTGTTTGTGTATCACATGCAAATAACTGAAGGAACATTTCACATAAAAAACACTTTGATGGCAATATGATGTCATAGGATGAAATGTATGAACAAAGTGCCTCCTCAACCACATCCCCCCCATCTCTTTCAGAAGCACATTATACAATATACAGAGGGATGAACTCAGAGCTAGTAATGTTGGAGAAACTCAGTCGGCTGGCAGGCCTCGGCGCTGTGATCCTGCTCTTTGTAAAGCATGTTTGTGTGTTTGTATGGTGGTGTTTCCTGTTTGGAGTCATTAGGCCTTTAAGGAAGAGTTGAAAACATGTCCTCCACTCCCACCACCCAACTGCCTTCTGCCGTGCACTCAGCCAGATTACAGCTGCCCTCAAATGTCCCAGCCTAAATTTGCAAAATTCCAGGAAAGGGGAAACTTCCCATAGGATTTAAGAGTTATTTATGGGAATGAACAGGATACAATGAAAATATAGGGGTTATCTACTGGGGGTGTGTTGATTTTGTGAATTTTAAAAAGAAACAAGCATTTTACCAAACCATAAGCATATATAAATCAAAATACATCCATTAATTTGTCAAATATATACATTGTAAAATGTGCCACGTTAGTTTTATTTAGTTTACGTTTTAATTTAACCAATGGGGAAGATAGTTTTTAAAATTTGAGCCGACAATGTAGGTTGTATGCAAACTTTGGCTTTAAAGTGATTAACTAATTTATAAAATAAATGTTTTACAATTTAAGAATGAATGGAAATAGATTAAAACTCCTCAATTAGCGTCCTCAATCAAGCTAGATTCCCCGTAGTAAAAGCTAGCTAGCAGAAATGAGCCGAAGGTATTAGAAAGGTCAAACTTTGTCAATTGCTTTCGGCTGCTATCTGCCGGTTCACTGACATATCATTAAA